TCCTGAAATCTGCTTGGAGATTATCTATATACGACATACGGCCATTTTCGGTTCCAATGCATGAACGACGTATTGTGTCTTACAGGAATCTGCTTGGAGATTATCTATATACGACATACGGCCATTTTCGGTTCCATGACATTAACGGCGGATTATCTCATTTTTCAGTAGTTTTTTTTTTTATGACGAGGACCTGAAAGTGGCTTCTCATCTTGTAACAGATTGTTACGGGGTTCCATAACCGCTTATTTTTACTGTCCATCTGTTGTGAGGAGTATCATATAGTGTACTAACTACCTTATATCAGAAAATCAATATGCGTGGGGGTATTCTGGACATAAAAGTTTTATCATTGAAGATGTCAGGAAAGTCCATAGAGTTCCAAGATCATTTCTGGTAAGGTTTTTTATTGATGATCACAGAGTTTCTGGTAAGGTATGAATGATCTCTTTGATCTCACGGGAAATATTTGCAAATTGGCAACTAACTGTGGAAGTGATCACCTGTATCATAATTAGTGACCGTCTACATAAGGGCCATCTGGCCATTGTACACTGTCAAACTTGTACAAGTGACCGTCTCTACATATGGACCATCTAGCAACCTCTACATTACCTCAAGTTTTTGGTTGTCCCTAAGACATAATTTTTTTTCCATCGACACAATTCTGAACAATCTTGTCGATGGTAATACTTGAAAATGGCAGATTATATAAAAACAGCCCCAATCGTAAAAGAACTTGAAACAATTTACCCCAGTACTCTAAAAGCTTGTCAATTCCATGTAATCCACCTATGTTAGAATCAGCACATGTGCCTATGGGATTATGGAGATATGACTTAATAGTTTTCTGCGACATCGTCTGTCGAATTGGGAATATCAACGTTAACAGAAGACTCGCTAATCGTTTTCAATTATCTTAGGCCTCTTCCGTCCCTATTCTGTAACTCAGGATAATCCCACAAGCAATTGAGACTTTTTTTAGCCATTAGAATCACCTGACATATTTAGGTTGGGAAGTTTCGAGTGACGTTCCAAGCTGAACATTTGAGACACCAATGCAATATTGGCCGCACCTGGGCAATTATAGTTGTATTAGGGTCACCTGAATTTGATGTAAAAGACAACCGTTCAGGACCTTTGCACCTCAGTCCATTAAAAAGGCTGTAGCATTAGGAAACAAGCCCGCCCCAAGTACTATTTGGCCAAACTTATATTATAATTAGTCTTTTAAAAGTAACCTCTGGCTTACTTTTAAAATATGACAGCGTTTTGGACTGTTTGAAGTTACTGCCTAAGTTGAGTGGCGTCCTCAGCCACATTTTTATGTTACGCTTTAGGTTACGCACTTGCATCATCTGCGGTTGTCTCACCAATCGTAAGTTTCCAAATCATCCCAGACCCCCCTCGACCTTATTCTGTAACTCACTGATAATCCACAAGGCAGGCATGAAACTTTTATGGCCCGAGTGTATCATGTCCACTTTCTACTCGCCTGACGTTCTAAGCTGACAGAACCTGCATATCAGCTCGATACATCAAACTAACACATTTGGGAGATCAAAGCGAGTCTTGTTAATCTTTCTTAATCATTTCAGACCGTCTCGCCCCTATTCTGTAACTCAAGGTGATCCCAGAAGCACTTCATCAAACTTGTATGTGGTCCGCTTGTGGCATATTCAGGTTGGGGTGTTTTGAGTTACGGGTCAGTAAACTGTACCGCAATTTAACATGTAAAAGTACCACATTTTCGGAGATCAAAGTGAGGTTTGTTTATCAGTATTTATCACTTTGGACCCTTCGCCCCAATTCTGTCTGAAACTCAAGTTGATCCAAAATGCAAATCATCAAACTTGTATGGCATATTGAGGTTCAGCTGTTTCCAGTTACGGTCTGAGCTACACGATGGACTGCAGTAGTTACGGAACCATTGTGGACACATTTGAAACAGTCCTATCATCAGTAGGCTGAGGCATAACCATTTTCAAACAATTTTGATATCTGTGCATTCCCTGTGATAAAGCTATAAGCTTGCGTGGTACCTGACCATCCCATATCATATCTGATATTTTAAGTCCCGCCTGCAAAAAAAAAATTCAGTAGTACTATATGGGCCACACATGGGCAATTATAGTTGTATTGAGGTCACTTGATTGAAATGTAAAAGGCAACTATTCAGAAACCTTTGCACTTCGGTACATTAAAAAAAGGTCTGTAGCAGTTGGGAATATAGCCTGCCCCAAATACAAAATAAGTAGCTGACCTTCAAACCATTCAAAACGCATCTTGATGGCTTCAAAAGGGATTTCAAAATGGCTTCAGGGTCCGGAAGGTCAAAATCACCATCGACAGGCGGCATCGGAGCAACAGTTTGGAAATGTCAGGAGATATAGAGTTCACCTTCCCTCCTGGTACGATAGGTGACCGACTGGTATCAGGTTGATAAATGAATGGGGACAAGCTGGAAAGGGCACACGGCAATGTCACAAGGTCATGTATGAACTACTGTAGAGTTGCCTGTGTCGCCGGCAAGGTCTCTAAGCGATCAGAAGAGTGGAAAATGCCATATTGTGGACGACAGTGTCTAAAATCTAAACCTGCGAGTGATGCCAACTCTCATGATGTCGATGGCTACGCTGAGATCACCACATCAAAAATGTAAATTTAATCTACTGATGTAACATCAATCTTGCCTCTACCAGGCTTCAGAAGCGGCTGGAAAGAGTAGAGATTGGCCAAATAGACAGATAACATGGCAGGTAGTCCGCTGAAGTAACGGTTTAGAGCGGCAAACTGTACTCTTTTGGTGGACCAGCCCCCATGGTATGTTTACCTGTCTATTTGGCCAACTCCTACTTTGTCCAGCAATCTTATGTACTGGGCAATCATTGATATGCAAATTCCAAGCCTGATTTTAATCTTGATTTCTTTTTGTCCTACCTTGGTTCTATGTTATATGATGGTCAGGCTTCACTTTTGTTTCACTTATTTTGGTATTATGATTTCATGCGCAATGTATGCTACTTAAGTTACCTTGCTTTTGTATTATTTAGTAACTTTTGTAACTTTATAAGTTACTTTTGTTGATTATTTGTATTAGTTTGAGTTTGATGTTTTTGTTTGGGGTCTTCCCCAGGCCCAGGGCTCATTGAAAAGTGCCCCACGGGCGATATGTATCCCCCTGGTTAAATAAATAAAAACAAACAAACAAACAAACAAACAAACAAACAGTTGCCTCTGAAGCCTGGTAGTGGTTAACATCAGTAGTCCCAACTTCCCATTTCAGATATCCAGATGTTCATGACTTAATGAGCCATTGCCCTTCCAGCAAACCAGGCCAAGCCTAACTGTACTTTTCTCTTCTATCAATGTTTAATACAAATCTGATCGCCAAGACAAGAAAACCACTCGATGTATGACAAAAGTCTGGCACTGCCAAAATCGGGGACAGCAATTTCGCCATATCTAATATTTATGGACGTCACCATTGAAAAATATATGGGATTAGCGAAGAGGAAAAATTGAACCGAGGAAAAGCGAGCTTATCTAATTCAAAAATTGTTTTCAATATTCAAGTCGCTCCGTTGTTTCATTGATTTTGCTCCAGGTTTGACCTACTTTCGGGTCCACCACATCAGGATACCTGGGAAGTCAATTTGAACCAATTCCAACCATAAGTCCACACTAATCTGTAAAAGGACGAATGAGTAACTCCATCTTAGGTTTGTGACCTCTTTCCTTTGAGGTCACTTGCAGTAGTCTATTAGTTAGTAATTCTTCCTGGATTACATGTTGAGCGTCAAAGTCTCTGGCTAACTAAAGCCTAATCTCCAAGCAGATCCTAGGGTGGCAAAAGACAGTATCAAATTGGCCAGGCAGTACCCACTGGCCGGAAGGTCCATGCGTCACCCTTAAATGTATACTGCCTGGCCAATTTGATACTGTCTTTTGTCACCCTAGGATCTGCTTGGAGATTAACCAATAGCGTTATGAGTGGACGGGACTGCTTCTGGTAACTACATGTAAGTATATTGTTTTGGGTGAGATAATTGTCTGTAGTCAAATATTTTACACTGAATTTACACAAATATTTCACCAAAATTAAAGACACAAAGTGCCACCTTTTTGGGATTTTAAAATTTCAGTATGCCCATGTATCATTCTGACACCACTACTATCACTTGAGATTAATGTCAAAATTTACATTAATGTTGCTGTATATATTCTTTTGATTTTCCTAATACCATAATCCCTTCAGTTAATTTTCCAAACAAGAGAAATGGTGACTTAGCTATAGTGTAGTTATCTACTCAACAAGCAGAGGCTGGTCATGTTTTGGACGTTTTGCTATCGTAGAGGTTTTGCCCAATGGACATGTGATAGCCTTTTTTTTACCTTTGACCTAACTTGAAGTTCCTGTTAATGCTCAGACTGACTACTATGTAAAAATAAATATGGCAACAGAAGCAAAAGCCCAGACACACCCCCAAAAACAATACCTCCATCCACGGAGGTAATCAATCAATACCAAGTCAATGCCCTGGCGTCCATGGGATTATCCTGGTAAGCCTTCATCTTGAAAACATACTTCCTTCCGACCCACTCAACGTAAACGACGCCACATTATGTACTTTACTTCTTACAGGTAGCCCCTCCCTCCCATACCCTACCAACTGCCGTATCTTTGATATTGTGTTTAACTATATCCACCACTCTGGAAGATTTGACCAATCTCAATAATGTTATGCTAGGTATTGGTGCGCCAGCCACTTTCATTTTATGTTAATGCTATATTTTATGTCATCTTTATGTTTACATTTGTATTGTTTTATGAGCAGCGGATTTACATAAGCACAACAAGTGCTTCCTATCCAATGCTCAAAAATCCATGTGAATAAAATAAAAAATAAAATCCTGGAAATCAGTGAAGAAGGTGGCCAAGGACAGACCCAGATGGAAGGAAAAAGTCAATGTCTCACTAGGGAATAAGTAGGCCAAAGTAGGACAATACCATTTTTATTTCATTACTGTTTTACCTGCATGCTTATTTGACTTAATTCTGCTTACCTAGATACATGGTAAACGATAAGAATGCAGGTACAAATGTATACAAGTCTGTGGAGGACAAAAAAAAACAACATCACATCTGTAGTAATCGAAACTAAATTTGTCATATACTATATAGATGATTCTAGAAGTAGACAGTCTGTTGGTTTAACCCTTTTCTGCTAATCTGTGATGTGATTGATACACATTTGGTGCATGGGTGCACCGTTAGTAGTGAAAGGGTTAAACTTAACCCAGCCATCTGCAATTATAAGAGTTCAGTTTTGTCCCAAAGCAAGAATTCCTTCCAAAAATACAGACCTAATGTCTAAGACAATTATTAAGATGTAGGCAACGTCTTTAAGCTTCGTAGTCTGGATTCTTCCGCAGAATGACGAATCCTTCCATCACTGGTGTCAGGGTCAAGTCTGGAGAAAACTGGTTAAGGAAAAACTCACATGGACACAAGAACAAGATTGTGCAACAAATGTTTACAATATTGTTGTTGTTAGTCATTCTCAACTATTTAGTACATTTAAAATGTTAATGTACTAAACAGTCATGTAAATATGCTCTAAATGTCACAGCCACTGTTTAATAAGAAGCAAGACCTTATCATAATGTTCACTACAAAATAATTCTAAGGCAAGCATGTTTTTACTGAATGTAGAATTTTACAAGTTTAGCTTGTTTGATTTAGAGTAGAATTTGTATGTTTTCTTCATCATCTTGTTACTTTGGTTCTCAAAATTTATTATACCATACTATGGTACCATCCAAATCTGTGGCAGTTCTAAAATCCAACCTACTTATTTTTTGCCCTTTTATACAAGTACCTAAACTAAGTATGATATGCCATGTAGACTCAAGGATACATTCTTCTGTAGCGAGTTCTGCCCTCTCTCCATAAGCCAGTAGTACCGGGGTGGTGTGGGTCTGGAACCCTGTGATCGTCTTAGGTTTGCCTGCCTGGCCAACTACATCTACAGCCTGCAGGCAAGGAAATAGTTATAGCAATCAATTATTCAATCAATCGATCAATCGATCAATCAATCAATCAATCAATCAGTCAGTCAGTCAGTCAGTCGATCAGTCAGTCAGTCAGTCAATCAATCAATCAATCTTCTATGTGGTTACATTTCTACTACATACAATAATGTACTGCACCTGCACGAAATGTTTGGTCAAGGATGCATCAGAATTTTTGCCTGTTGGCGACGATTTCTTTTCTGACACAACATTGAAAACTACAGACTGGATGTCATACTTAAATATGGAAACATGTCCTTATATGAGACGTTATATATGCTCAGTACATTACAGATTTTGTGCAGTATGTTCTGTCAATGTACTGGTTGAGTGAAACATGAGTAGATAAGAGTATTATCCTCACCTGTCCCACTCTAACAGCCACAGGCAGCGGTCTCATCTCCTCATCAAAAGTGACCAACATCCGGGGCTGCATGGCCGTCACCAGGCAGTACAGAAGGTAGTGGGACTTCCCTAGGATAACTGCACACAAACACAAACATTTAATTAGAAAGGTAACACTTGCAAAGCAAATGCAAGATGTTTATACCTTCACATGGTCTAGCCTAATGAACTACATTGTACAGTAACTGCACTAATTGTTCTTGCTCAAACACATTCATATACAATAGTATATGGTGACCAGCCCCTCCACCTCTGTCCCGCCACTTGCTACATAATGTGATCCAACACCACAGGGTGTCTACTACTACTAACTATTACTACTACTACCACTACTACTACTAGTACGATTGTTTTGGCTTAAAACATCACACCAACTAGACTTTTCAAAATGATGAATCGCATACACGGACATGTATATATGGTGACCAGCCCCTCCAACTCTTTTCTGCCACTTGCTACATAATGTAATTATGCTAAGGGTCACTTACTGTTTTTGACGTCCAGGAATGACACCAGCACAGCGAGCAGACCTGACAGTGCCACGTGGCTCAGGAGGTAACGGTCACTGTGGTACGCATTCAAGGTCATTGTGCCCTTCCCCATGTGGGTCAAACCCTGTAAGGTAAGGGGCAAAGGTTAGAGGTCAAGGCCATATCATTCCTTACAAAAACAGTGCTAAGGTCAGTCATGTATAGTTTCAAGGTCATGATGGCCTCCCCATGTGTTAGATACAGAGAAGTAAAGTCAAAGGTCAGGGGTTGCAGTGCCCAAATGTGTGACCTTGAAAGGGTCATTTGTCAAAAACTATAGTAACTGACTGTATAATTATGTACATATACATGATATCATTTTCCATATGCACCACAGTCCAGTATACTATCATGAAAGTTCATCTGTGTTGATGGTTACATGTTTAAAGTTAAAACTGTTGATCCAACACAAAGTCAGTCTACTGAGGAAGGCCAGAGTGATTGGTCTAAAAGTAAAACTCTAGGTGAGAGAATTTCTTGTGTTGGTTTAACACTAACAGTTTAACTTTAATATACAGTCAGGCATGTTCAGCCCTAGAACTAAGGACACAGCGAGGACGTGGAAAGGACATAACCTTCAAACTTGCCTGTTGTAATCATCTCTCTATTAGCCATAACCCTGAGATTCACACTTGGGATATTAAAGTGTCAAATCAAACATCGTTCTGTCATCGATGGTACAAACGTTCACTTCAACAAACAGCTTTTCAATTAGACTAAAACGCCATCAATCGTACAAAGGTTTCCTTCAACAGACAGCTCTTCAAAACTTTTAATCAAGTTAAAACATCATCAATCCTGATGACATTCTCATTAGTATATGTAGCTGAGATCTTTCCAAGAGTTGTAACGAGATTGTATCAATCTCCCTACAGAAAACAGTACTGTAGACTGACTTATTTTTGCTAGGACTTACATGTATGTAGCAGATTTTAAAGTAGCAGGTTTTTCCAGCACTTTATAATTGTGGTTGATGCAATTCTATAGTTCAGTTGTAGTACAATAAAAAAACCCATGTTTACAGTGGAATACAGTTGAAAGATCACCACGAAAACAATGTAAATATTTCAAAATTTTACAGTGTTTAATTCCTCACAGAGTAAAACCAATCTGGTCTGGTCTCTGCAGCATGATTGGATCCTCAGACTGTCTGACTTCTGCTGTCAGTCTCATTAATGTAATTAGTCTGTAGCTTGTTTTTCATCTTGTCGGACCGATTGGTTACATGTTGTCCTGCCACAGTTCAAGGTCGTTGGTCAAGGTCATTTGTTACGGTCTGTCAGTGGTTCATTAAATGTCTGGCTGACTAATCATTTACCATTTGACTTTGGCTGCGAGGTACTAGGTTAAAGGCGAGTTTGGAATCAAAATATTACTATTAATTAACATTACTTTTTCTTGCTTCGAGTTCAATTTTAAAAGCTTGATGATTTCTCTGCAGTTAGCTATTACATCATTGATTTCTGTGCACATGTACGTGTTACATCATTAATTTCTGTGCACAGATAGCTATTATGTCATTGATTTCTGTGCACAAGTGGCTATCATAAAATTGATTTCTGTGCAAACTACGAATCATCCTTGGCCATTCTCCAGATTGCTGATACATGTATTATACAATGTAGTACACCATAACTCCACACAAACAAACAAAATAGAGAAAAACAACAGGAGAAGATGATTGCGTACCTGAGCCAGTCTGACCATGAAGAGGTTGAGTGAGTCCTTGGCGTGGAATTGTGCCAACTGTCGCAGCATGGCAGCCAAACGAGCGTTGTTGGTCCCTACAAACATAAAACAAGCATGGGTGACATTAAAAGGCACACGGTTTTGTTTTCTTAGATATAAAAGTTTAACTTCAGTAGCAAGAAAACACGAATCTCAACCAAATCTTAAATTGATGATGTCACTGATTTCTGTGCAGTTACATGTGCAGCTCTTATGACATTGTCATTGATTTCTGTGCACAGGTAGCTGTTGTGTCATTGATTTCTGTGCACTGGTAACTGTTATGTCATTAATTTTTGTGCACTGGTAGCTGTTATGTCATTACTTTAAATTCTTGGGTATTAAAAATTGACTTCAGAATGCATGTAAACTCCTAGACTAGTGTTGTAATTTTGTTGCACCTGATTGTTTGCCTCACATATCTAGAGAAAAATAAATGAAAGTAACAAACAAACCAAACCTACCGCTGCCCACGATGCCCATGGCAAAGATGGAGTTGTGAGCGACCTCCGGGTCAGAGTCATGTGAAAACTTGCTGAGGGTCTCCAGTATGCTGAGTTTGGGGTTGGAGACAGAGATGAGAGCCAGGGCCAGGGGAACGGCTCGCTTGATCACAGGCTCTCCGTAACGCAACTGTGTCGGCAAAACAAACGCACTTCGGATTAGGAGACTAGTTTCATTAAAAAAGTTGTAGTAGACCAATGGAAGTATTAGATATCTAGCAGAAAAGTGAACTGAACAAATTTCAGGTACAGGGTTAAGTACAGGCCCGAAACTATGGTCCTGTACCTAAACAAAATTGGCAAATCATTTGTAGTCAACTGTCATTTTAGTGGTAAATTCTTGTCTTTACAATGAGGTTTAAAAATTATAATCTAACTTCTAAGATTATAAGTATCGACAGGATGGCCCAAAGGGACATATAAAAAATTGCCTGCCATTTACCAAATGTACGAAGGCCTATAGATACATGTGAAAATTGCATGCTGTTTACCATATACACAAAGAACCATAATTGTGACATATAAAAAAAGTTTCTCACCAGATGTCCGAATGCCCGTAGTGACATGTCAGCTCCTATCTCCTCGCCCATAGCGATCAGCGCGATGCCCAGAACTGCGATGGCCTGGTGAGTAGACAGGTCCTCCTTCTCCTTAGCCTTCTCCTGAAATTATTACAGTATTTCTTTTACCTTCATAGAAGGAAAACATTGTGTTTTTGCTCCAAATTTCCTCTTTTCCAAACAAGTAGGGTCACTGATCTGTACCAGACGTCTGTCACCATTGTAACTGGTGCTGTAGCAGACACCCTATGGTGTTGGATTACAATATGCCACCAGTCGGCATATTGTGATCATATAAATTTGTTTGAATAAGAGTAAACAGTACTGTAGTTTGTTAGGCTACAAAGTCCCCATGTGAAGGTAAACATTGCAAATGTTACTTTATCTAGCTTTAGTTTTCCTTTTATTATTAGCCATTATTTTATTCATTACATCATTACTTTCTGTATACAATTTCTGGTGCAAAAGTATTGTCATTTGGTGAACCGTTGTACCTTATCTTTGTCCTTGTCCTTGTCTTTCTTGTCCTTCTCGTCTTTCTTGTCGTCATCCTTACTGGCCTCGTAATGCTCGCTGCAGATGTGAAGGAGCTGCTGGATCTTTAAGACATTGCCTGTACCTGTCGGCAAGACACAAGCAAAGATTATCATAGAGTTATAGGGTCAGGAAGATTCAAACATCACCTAAGCATTTAAGGTGTACTTTGAACATTTCTGCTACATTTCGGTATTTTGCATTATTTTCCTATGATAAAGATCTGAAGTCGGTATGATTTGATAGATTCTACTACAATGCATCAGATGAATTGTAGAATCTGTAGCATACAACTGTGCAATCTATTATGAAAAAAAACTTTTCTCCAACTCAAAATTTGACTCACCAGAAATTTTCGACTGAATCACTCAGTCTTCCTCAGCTATCTGACCCAAATGCTTTGGACACGTGATTTTTCCCACGTGTGACGTCAGCAAAGGGTCAAAGGTTGTCTGAAGTCGATATCGCCCCCGTCCCGGTTCGTAGCGATGGTTGGTAAGTAG